CACTATAAGCATTATAATTATATATATATATATATATATATATATATATATATATATATATATATATATATACACACACACACACACACACACACACACATAAATTAACCAATATATATCTTATACATCTTAAAGTGGTATATATGCAGGTAATGTACACATCATAGAGCAGGTATATAGTCTAAACCAGCAATTCGCATACAGATATGAGGGAACACAGGGAGGGTGCATGTGTCGGTTGGTCCCTGCATTTAGTCTAAAGTTAGCCCAAAATGATTTTCTGGTCCCTACATATTTACAAAATAGATTTGAAGTTAAAGTGGAGTCCTGAGCGGAGGAGTCCTGAGCGAAGTGGCGTACATACCGGGGTCGCAAGTGCGACCGGGCCCGTCACTTCAGCGGCACTGACCGCCCTGCGGTCCCCTGCGACCAGGTACCCGCCGCCATGTTTTGCGGCCCCGGCCCACGCGGCAAACCACCAGGGCCGCACATGAAGGGGTCCATCGGGTGGCCCATGCTCTTAGGACCACCCGATGGAGATGGATAACAGCGCGACCGGGCCCCCTGTGATGACATCACACAGAGCTGGGAGGAAGTGACTGCCTGGTCACTCCTCCCAGCTATCAGAGAGCCGCAAAGGAGGAGGGAGTGAGAGTGAGAACTCTGACTCCCATGAGGTTGAGCCCCCACTGGACCCCAGAGAAAGTCACCCTCCTGCAAAAGGTAGGAAACAGGAGGGTGACAAACATTTTGTATAAGTGTGTGTTTGTATGTATTTGTCTGTATGTGTGTGTATGTGTGTCTATGTATGTATGTGTCTGTGTGTATTTCTGTCGGGGGGGTGTGTATGTGTGTGTGTGTCTGTATCTAAATGTGTGTCTCTATGTATGTGTGTATGTGTCTGTCGGGGAGGAGGGCCCACAGATCAGTTTCGCACTGGGGCCCCATGGATTGTGTGTACGCCACTGCCTGAGCGAATGATCCCGGTGACGGCTGCCAGGTGAAACGCGTCTTGAGTGCGGACTTTGGCGTTCCCTTGAGCTGGCGGTTTATTTAACTTATGGTTTTCGTTATTTCTAATTTTCACTCCTCGGCTCAGGACTCCACTTTAAAGGACCACTCTAGGCACCCAGACCACTTCAGCTTAATGAAGTGGTCTGGGTGCCAGGTCCCTCTAGGATTAACCCTTTCTTCTATAAACATAGCAATTTCAGAGAAACTGCTAGGTTTACAAATGGGTTAATCCTTCCTCCAATGCCTCTAGCGGCTGTCTCACTGACAGCCGCTAGAGGCGCTTGCGTGATTCTCACTGTGAAAAATCACAGTGAGAGCACGCAAGCGTCCATAGGAAAGCATTGTAAATGCTTTCCTATGCGACCGGCTGAATGCGCGCGCAGCTCTTGCCGCGGGTGCGCATTCAGCCGAATGGGAGGAACGGAGGAGGAGATCTCCCCGCCCTGCGCTGGAAAAAGGTAGGTTTCTACCCCTTTCCTCTCCCTAGAGCCGGGCGGGAGGGGGCACCCTCAGGGCACTATAGTGCCAGGAAAACGAGTATGTTTTCCTGGCACTATAGTGGTCCTTTAAAATCAAATCTATTTAAATGTAGATACTGAGTTTAGGAACCTTGACAAAAGTTACTTGTTTCCGATATTTGTATTTATTTTGGGATCAATGGGGAATTCTAGAAATCTATAATCTGCCAACAATCAATAGGTTATAATGGAAACAACTTGCATTAAACAAATACACTCAGCAGCCAACCTTGCCAAATATTACAAAGACAAGGTGGCCCTGATGATCATAATAATAATAATAATAATAATAATAATGGTGATGATAATAATAATAATAATAATAGTGATGATAACAATAATAATAATAATGGTGATGATAATAATAATAATAGTGATGATAAGGCACTTTGTATAATGTGTTGTTGTGACCTCACCCCTGTGGTTGGATACTGTATAAGTTTGGGAGGTGCATTAAGTGTTAATAGGAATGCATAGTTTTTGTTTGTGACATTTCCTATAAATGACAGAATTAAAGCAGGAACAAGCTGCAGTTCCTGGTCCCTCCCGGCTTCCTTGGCTCCCCCCCTGTCAGCCCGCAGATGGTTCCCCCCACCGGCCTGAGTCTCACCAGGTATAGGGGCGCATAGATTTTGAAGGACTCTTCCAATGCGCTGCGGGTGATCTGCAGGTAGGAGGTGAGGCAGGACGGGTTCCAGGTGTGCCCGATCTCATAGCAGCTGTGCGGGATGGCCTTGCTGTGAGCCGCCATGTTGAGGTAGGGACGCGGCGGTGGTGGTGCTGGTGGTGGAGGAGGAGTACGGGGAGGGGGAGGCTTTGTAGAGTAAAGGTCTCTCCCCCCCCCCTCCTCCTCCCGCTGGGACACTGGAGCGGGGTTACTGCCGTTCAAAGACCCGGCTGCTCCAGGACGGCGGCCGCGCGCATCACGCCACCAGCCGCCGCGTGCACGAGAGGCGCACTCACACATCAGCCAGGGAGAGGCTGCTGTCACCATACAGAGATAGACTGCTGTGACCATACAGAGACAGACTGCTACTGTCACCATAGAGAGGTAGACTGCTGTGACCATACAGAGAGACTGCTGTCACCATACAGAGACAGACTGCTACTGTCACCATAGAGAGGTAGACTGCTGTCACCATACAGAGATAGACTGCTGTCACCATACAGAGATAGACTGCTACTGTCACCATACAGAGACAGACTGCTACTGTCACCATAGAGAGGTAGACTGCTGTCACCATAGAGAGGTAGACTGCTGTCACCATACAGAGGTAGACTGCTGTCACCATACAGAGATAGACTGCTGTCACCATACAGAGAGACTGCTGTCACCATACAAAGAGACTGCTGTCACCATACAAAGAGACTGCTGTCACCATACAGAGAGACTGCTACTGTCACCATACAGAGATAGACTGCTACTGTCACCATAGAGAGGTAGACTGCTGTCACCATACAGAGATAGACTGCTGTCACCATACAGAGATAGACTGCTGTCACCATACAGAGAGACTGCTACTGTCACCATACAGAGATAGACGGCTGTCAACATACAGAGATAGACGGCTGTCACCATACAGAGATAGACTGCTGTCACCATACAAAGAGACTGCTGTCACCATACAAAGAGACTGCTGTCACCATACAGAGAGACTGCTACTGTCACCATACAGAGATAGACGGCTGTCACCATGCAGAGATAGACGGCTGTGACCATACAGAGATAGACGGCTGTGACCATACAGAGATAGACGGCTGTCACCATACAGAGATAGACGGCTGTCACCATACAGAGATAGACCGCTGTCACCATACAGAGATAGACTGCTGTCACCATACAGAGATAGACTGCTGTCACCATACAGAGAGACTGCTACTGTCACCATACAGAGATAGACGGCTGTCAACATACAGAGATAGACGGCTGTCACCATACAGAGATAGACTGCTGTCACCATACAAAGAGACTGCTGTCACCATACAAAGAGACTGCTGTCACCATACAGAGAGACTGCTACTGTCACCATACAGAGATAGACGGCTGTCACCATGCAGAGATAGACGGCTGTGACCATACAGAGATAGACGGCTGTGACCATACAGAGATAGACGGCTGTCACCATACAGAGATAGACGGCTGTCACCATACAGAGATAGACCGCTGTCACCATACAGAGATAGACCGCTGTCACCATACAGAGACCGCTGTCACCATACAGAGACTGCTGTCACCATACAGAGAGACTGCCACTAACTGTCACCATACAGAGAGACTGCTACTATAACCATACAGAGACTGCCACTAACTGTCACCATACAGAGAGACTGCTGTCACCATATAGAGACTGCTGTGACCATACAGAGAGATTGCCACTAACTGTCACCATACAGAGAGACTGCTGTCACCATACAGAGACTGCTACTAACTGTGACCATACAGAGACTGCTGTGACCATACAGAGAGAGACTGCTGTCACCATACAGAGAGACAGCTACTGTGACCATAGAGAGACTGCTTCTAACTGTGACTATAGAGAGACTGCTAACTGTGACCATAGAGAGACTGCTACTAACTGTGACCATACAGAGAGACTGCTAACTGTGACCACAGAAAGACTGCTAACTGTGACCATAGAGATACTGCTACCTGCGACTGCTAACTGTGCTGTGAACATAGAGAGACTATATATATATATATATATATATATATATATATATATATATATATATATATATATATATATATATATATATATATAGAGAGAGAGAGAGAGAGAGAGAGAGAGAGAGAGAGAGAGAGAGAGATATAGGCAGGCGCCCACCCACCCCCACCTCCCGGTCTGTATATACAGGGTCTGTCTATATACCCAGTTCTGTACATACAGGGTCTGTCTATATGCCCAGTTCTGTGCATACAGGGTCCATCTGTATGCCCAGTTCTGTGCATACAGGGTCTGTGTGTATGCCCAGTTCTGTGCATACAGGGTCTGTGTGTATGCCCAGTTCTGTGCATACAGGCTCTGTCTGTATGCCCAGTTCTGTGCATACAGGCTCTGTCTGTATGCCCAGTTCTGTACATACAGGGTCTGCCTTTATATCTAGCTCTGTACATACAGGGTCTGTCTCTATATATCCAGCTCTGTACATACAGGATCTGTCTATGTATCTAGCTCTGCACATACAGGATCTGTCTATATACCTAGCTCTGTATATACAGAGTCTGTCGCTCTGTACATACAGGGTCTGTCTGTATAACCAGCTCTGTATATACAGGGTCTGTCTGTATATCCAGCTCTGTACATACAGAGTCTGTCTTTATGTCCAGCTCTGCACGTTCACATAGTAATATGCCTACAATATAATATTGCCTATATTGTATAAACCAAAAAAAGGGTACATGTGTTCTGCATCGTCCCTTTAAAATAAAATATATGTATGGATATTTTTTTCTACTCCGATAAAGACATTTGCTTTTAGTGGCTAAACAATTGAGTGTGTATTATTGGCATTATTTACAAGTAATTATATGTGCAAGCAAAGTTAGTATCATTGCTTTGGTTTAAAGGGACACTATAGTCACCTGAACAACTTCAGCTTAATGAAACAGTTTTGGTGTATAGAACATGCCCCTGCAGCCTCACTGCTCAATCCTCTGCCATTTAGGAGTTAAATCCCTTTGTTTATGAACCCTAGCCACACCTCCCTGCATGTGACTTGCACAGCCTTCCATAAACACTTCCTGTAAAGAGAGCCGTATTTAGGCTTGCTTTATTGCAAGTTCTGTTTAATTAAGATTTTCTTATCCCCTGCTATGTTAATAGCTTGCTAGACCTTGCAAGAGCCTCCTGTATGTGATTAAAGTTCAATTTAGAGATTGAGATACAATTATTTAAGTTAAATCCTCTGATGAAGTGATCGGAAATCACGAAACGCGTAAGGCGGCATCTGCACACTAACATACATCGGTCCCGAGAGTGAGCACCTCTGACACGCATCCTGAGCCGCAGTGGAACGCACGCGGCTAGAAACCAGCGGTACACAGCACGAGGAAAATCCCATTCACTTCTGTCCGGCCGGCGAGAAAGTGATTTCAATATCCTTTGGGCTCAAGGTCTGTTAAACCTGGTACTGGTGCTGTTTTGTTTGCTACTCTTTTTTGGGACTTTTATTGAAAGACACATATATTTGTAGCATTTTTTGTTACTTATTAATAAACTTTGAAAAGTATTTGTCTGCTGCATTAGATTTTAACCCTTTGAGGGATTTATTTTATTTTATTCATATTACCCAGTCATGTATATCGGATTCACAATTTATTGAAACCTATACTAGATTATTTTCAGCAGTTCATAGACTCTGCCTTTCCTCATTTAATAGGTGGTGATGACATGACCAGCTGACACATTTGTATCTAAATAAGAGAGCAAGAACTTTCATTTATTGTGAAGTGCTCTATATACTTTCATTTCCACTGAATCCTGTATATATAATTGATTTATTTCAATTCGTGTTCTTCATTTTGTTTTCATTCAGGCTCTGTCAATCATAGCCAGGGGAGGTGTGGCTAGGGCTGCATAAACAGGAACAAAGTGATTTAACTCCTAAATGACAGTGAATTGAGCAGTGAAATTGCAGGGGAATGATCTATACACTAAAACTGATTTATTTAGCTAAAGTAATTTAGGTGACTATAGTGTTCCTTTAAATACATCACAAGTTTTATTGCTGTAGGGCTGTGATGTGTTTGATTTGACTCTGAATTATTTACATACAGCAATCATTCTGCACTCCACAGAAAAAGAAACAAACAAGATAATAAGTGGGAAAATAGTGATTTAGAACTCAAAGAAGACCACTTGCATGATACTTCGCTATCATGTCAAGTATCAGTAATTCAAGATATATTTTACATAATGCAGAATAAGGAACAGTGCACACATAAAAATACATTTCTAAAATCTATAAGGCTTCTTAAATTCCTGCAAAATGCACGTTCCAGGTGTGCCCCCAATTCCCTTTTGTCTTTACTATGTATTTCACATTTTAGGCCAAAATGTCTTGATGATGTTGAGTAGTGCATGATGTAGTTATCGTACACTGATCGGCCACAACGTTAAAACAATTGGCAGGTGAAGTGAATAACATTGATTATATTGTTACAATGGCACACCTGTCAAAGGGTGGGATATATTAGGCAGCAAGTTAACAGTTTGTTCTTGACTTTCATGTGTTCCAAGCAGTAAAAATGGGCAAGTGAAAACATCTGAGTACTTTGACAAGGACCAAATAGTAATGGCTAGACAACTGGCTCAGAGCATTTCCAAAATGGCAAGACTTGTGGGTTGTTTGCGTTATGCGATTGAGTGTCTGTGGGATGTTCTAGAACAGGCATAGGCAACCTTTGGCACTCCAAATGTTTTGGACTACACCTCCCATGATGCTTTGCAATCATTAAGGGTGTAAGAGCCATATGGGAGATGTAGTCCACAACATCTGGAGTGCCGAAGGTTGCCTGCCCCTGTTCTAGAACAACAAATCTTAACTTAAAGTAACTGCTGCTAATGTCTTGGTGTCAGATACCACCGGATATGTTCAGAGGTCTTGTGTGGTCCATGCCTCAATGCATCAGCTGTTTCGGCAGCATGATGGGGACCTACACGGTATTAGGCAGGTGGTTTTAATGTTGTGGCTGAATATTGTATGGTGTCTGTGGAAAGTAACTTTACTTTGGTGATTCCTATTCATTCCAATCCATGAGAAATGAAATATCATGTTTTTGTTACAAAAATAAATATACATTTATTGGCTTTATAAATCTGTTTGTGTGTGATATGTGTGTGTTAGAAAAAACATGTTTGTCATGATTATATCTGGCGTTTCCTTTTAACCCCTTTTATTAATGACTGTAGATGCCTCTGGTTTTGAATAGGGAATGCCATCTCTTTAGGTTAAGTCGGTAGATCCCAACAAGCTGGAGGGCAATGCCCCACTATCTCTAAACTTCTTCAGCCGCCACTCTATTTGGCCTCATATCAGTTTTTGCATTATGCTCAACCACTTGAAGAAATTTTATAGCGAAATTATAAAATGTTTCATTTTGGAACACCACCTCTAATGTAACCAAAAGAACAGTATCATCTCTTATAATGGCCTGTCTGTAACTGGTATTGACAATTTTTGTGGACATCAGACCTAAATACTTTTACATTCAAAATCAGACATCTCTGAAAAATGCATCTTTTTGCTTACTGTGTCTAGAGGGGTATCCGCTAGGGATCAACCGATATTGATTTTTTTAGAGCCGATACCGATAGCGATAATCTGTTAACTTTCAGGCCGATAGCCGATAACTTGCCGATATTCTGTACATTTGCCATTTTGAAAAAATAAACTATTTCTAAAAGGTAAATGCCAGAGTGTGTGTCTGTGTAGTGTGTGGTGTATAAAGGGAATGCAGTGTGTGTGTGTGTGTGTGTGTGTGTAAAGTGAATGAAGTGTTTAGTGTGTGTAGTGTGCGTATAGTGAATGCAGTGTGTTTGTATAGTGTGTGTATATAATGAATACAGTGTGTGTGTGTATATAATGTAGTGTTTGTAGTGTCTGTGTATATATGATGCTGTGTTTGTAGTATGTGTGTGTATATAATGCAGTGTGTGCATTAAACACACACACACACACTACATTATATAGACACACACACTGCATTATATACACACTAAATTATATAGACACACTACACTTTATACACACTCTGCGTTATATACAGAGTGTGTAGTGTGTGTGTGTATATAATGCAGTGTGTGTTTTCCAGAAGGGATGGGATTTGTGTAAAAAACATTATTTAAATTTTTAATGTTTTATTTTTTTAATATTTGTTTATTTTAATATTTTTTTTTAATATTTATGTTTATTTTTTATGCTTATTTTTAATATTTATGTTTTATTATTTTGTCCGCCCTCCCTGCTTGTTACCTGGTCAGGGAGGGGGGATATGACAGTCCCTGGTGGTCCAGTGGCATTGGCTGAGCTGTGGGGGGGATTGGGCGAGGGGCGTTTATTTACCTCCCCTGCAGCTCCTCCAGCTCCCAGTGTAAATCTCGCGGCCCTTAGTGCTCTGACAGCCGCGGGTCTTGTAATGAACCTGGCGGTCCTAGGAGGTATTATCGGCAATATTAGTATCTATATTGGCCGATACCGATATTGCCGAAAATACCGAATATCGGCCGATTTATATCGGTAAAACCGATAATCGGTCAATCCCTATTATCCGCTACAAACCGCTGCTGATGGCCAAAGAAAGCCGAAATAATTGTTCGGAGTTGCTGTGCAGAGAGAACTTGCTGGCATTTCAGTTCTAAACTGCCCTTGTTGGTGGGATCAGTCTGATACGCACATGTTATAGGTTCTTTTTGTAATAGCACAAGTGAGCAAAAACAGGCAAGAGTTTCTCTATGCGTTTACTTGTTATCATATTTTCTTTTTCCCTATTTCCTTTTTTTTTTTTTTAAAGAAGCCTCATATTTAGAACTAGTTGGGCAGTTACGTCCCCAGAGGTGTTTTTTTTTTTTCCCACTTAACAAGTTTAATGATTGTCACAATGTCCCTCATTCCTCACCTAACCTGCCTGATGACCTCCACAACAGGTAAGTAAGTTCCCTCAAGCTTGCCTTTTTTAGGGCTTGCTAGCATTACCATCAAAAAAGCAAATTCATGAGCTATAACTACGTTAAAGTCATGACACCCTCTACAGCCATATTACTAATACAGAATGCGAATGAGGCTCTAAAAATATTAAAAAGATCTGCATGTGATGGAAAACAGTACTAATGAAGCTATGCTTATATGAACAATGTACTGTAAACGTAAACGTCCCAATGAAAATGACAGGATTTATAGACTTTTAATAAGGTCTCCTGTTTCCTGAAAATACAAAATGAAACAATACAACAGGAAGGAAATGCTTATGTAGCATCCATAAATAATTTTAGATCCAGCGTAGACTTCCATATAGCAAAATAGTCATTAATCAGTTTTGGGTTATAGTTGTGTGGAGGGGTGTCACACAGCACCAGTTTTGTTCAAACAAGTTCAAGGTCCCTCGAACAGTTACTTCCTTTACAGGAAGAGGAAGTTCAAAAATACTGCACCGGTGCTGCTTACTGAGAGAAAACTGGTTCATTAGGCACTAACAAAACCACTCTGCATAACAGTTTTGTAGTGAAGAAGAATTAAACAGTGAAGAGTGGTGACTTGGAACATTCAGGCTGAAATAGCCAAGTTGTAACTATAGGTGGGTTGAAAAATGTTTCCAAATTAGTTATTGTGACTTAAATGTAGCATTTTGGTGGTTTCCCAAGCTTTCTTTATATGAATTTTAGATGATTGACAAAGGAATAGCGAATGTAAGGACAAAATAGCTAAGCTGGAATGTAGCTTAGTTGGCTAATTTCTCCCATTTGGCGAGTTACTCAGAGGGCCACTAGAGGAGCTTCCTGGGTCAGTGCTGCATGGAGGCCCTGAACGTTCCCCATAGAAATGCATTGGCGTGGCATTTTGCAGCGCATTGCGCAATAGATTTCCCAAGATTTCCTTTGGGAACGTATTGAATTGGCTGAGGTAATCAGCGAGGCCGGCACAGTGTGAGATGAAAGGTAAGTTTAACCCTTTCATCTCTATGGAGAGGGGGGCTGGGACCTAAACATTGATTCCTGACTCAATAGTGCCAGAAATACATGTTTGTATTCCTGCTTAAGGGAATACATTAATAGTTGCTCATATGTTCTATTGTTTGAACATGATTTGTATGTGAACAAAAAGTTAAACAATAATCTGCACACCAGTCAAGCCATAAGACTTGCTTATCCTTTGTGATAGTTACATCACTGCAGATTTGTGATTCCTGTGGGAAAAGCGAGTCTTATGGCTTGACTGGTGTGCAGGTTTTTGTTTAACATTGTATTAACTATCCACATACTTCAGGTAGAAGGGGTTTTCAATCACAATTTTTCCCCACCATAACCTTTTTTGGTTATTACTTCACAAGCACTACCAAGCCTCAATAGCAAGCCAGTAACCAACCTCATGCTGATGATTTGCATTAACAATGAAACAGCTGTCCATGAGTGGTTCACTGGCTTTGCATCTTTTCCGAAATTGTGTTTCAAAGCTGTTGTATACAGCAAACACAGACTCAAAGGAATCCATGTTTATAATGGAATGAGGCAAAAATGTAATTCTTTGTTGAACTAATTGCATTTGCCCACCCAGAATCCTTTGTGGTAGTAACACCACTGCAATTTTGTGATTCCTGTTGGAAAAGCAAGTCTTATGGCGGTGGAATGGGTTTTCAATCACAGTTTTTCCCCTCCATACCTTAATTGGTTTTTGATATATATTAATCGAGTTAATGCCAGAATAGTTTTTGAACTACTTGATTCCCTTTTAGGGATGAGTTTTGGAATCTAACTCATATGGCCAATTCAGAGGCAATATGTTGAATTATCATTGTTTCTAACCTGCAAGGATAGATATAAAGTTTGTGGAAGCAACCATTACTTCATAATCTATATATGTTCTATTTTACTTTATTCCTTTACATTGGAGCACTACACTATCCGTAGTTCTTGTTTGTAACAGGTGGGTGCAAGATGACCTTTAGGCATAAGGGTGACTGCAGTTTTACAATCCGGGTTCACCTTTCTCCTTCGTTAATCCCTCAGGTAATTAAAGTAGCCCTCATTAAATAAGATGTTTGTTCTTCCCTGCTCTGCTAATTAGGATGAAGAGCCTACAGCTGTGTAGGGGCCAGAGTTCAGAAAACCTGAAAGAAAACATTTAAACCTGTATCACTTGGAGCTGATACACATTATCGGAATTTAGATCCTCAATGATTTTCTCAGTAAAGGAACAGACTTTTTCGAAATTATATTCAATAAAAATTAAATTTCCAAAAACAAAGTTTAAAAAAAGGAAAGTCTAATGGAATTGTGAATCCGTATGTAATTGAATTTATATCCACATTACAGGTGTCTTTTTTATTCTTTTCCCCAAGTACGAATTGTAGGACTTTGAGAAAGAAACTGCAAATGTTCGGGTATAATAGCCAACTTAAAAAAAATATATATCTATCTCCGCTATACTTACTGCTCAGTTATGTTTGCCTCGGTTTTGCAATTCGTTTATATTGTAAATATGTATAGCCTAGATTACTGACGAAACCCAACAGAGTACATTTATTCTAAAACCTTTGTTGCCTATGTCAACAGATATAATATTATAATACAGCATGCAGCAAGTATTGTTCAACATGAGGCTAAAGATAAGTGGAACCCAAAAGAGTTTTAGCCATGTTGCCTTTGGCGCACCGCTTTTCATGAACATTATCATTATTATAAAAAAAAAAAATTTTCTCTCAGTTTCATGTGGAAATGAAGTATATTATATGAAAAGGTAAGTTTGGATCACACAGCTCACCCTGAAAAGATGCAAATTATCAGAGAAATGCTGTCACCTGATGAGTGTAGGAAGTAACCAATGACTACAGAGCAAAATCAGAAGTTTAGAATGTGTAAATACATCTTTAACATCTTAAAGGGAGGCTATAGGCACCAATTCAACTTTACTTCAATGAAGCAATTTTGGTGAATACATCATGTCCCTGAAGTCTCACTGCTCAAATCTCTGCCATTTAAATGACCACTCTAGGCACCCAGACCACTTCAGCTTAATGAAGTGGTCTGGGTGCCAGGTATAGCTAGGGTTAACCCATTTTTTTTATAAACATAGCAGTTTCAGAGAAACTGCTATGTTTATAAATGGGTTAATCCAGCCCTCAAATCCTCTAGTGGCTGTCTCATTGACAGCCGCTAGAGGCGCTTGCGTGATTCTCACTGTGAAAATCACAGTGAGAGCACGCAAGCGTCCATAGGAAAGCATTGTAAATGCTTTCCTATGAGACCGGCTGAATGGGAGGAGAAGAGGAGGATCGGAGGAGGAGAGCTCCCCGCCCAGCGCTGGAGAAAGGTAAGTTTTAACCCCTTTCCTCTCCCCAGAGCCGGGCGGGAGGGGGTTCCTGAGGGTGGGGGCACCCTCAGGGCACTATAGTGCCAGGAAAACGAGTATGTTTTCCTGGCACTATAGTGGTCCTTTAAGAGTTTAATTACATTTATTTCTGTCCATGGAGCACTAGCCACACCTCCCCTGGCTGTGACTGGCCTAGCCTGTGTGAAATAAATGGTTTCATTTTTAATCAGATCTTAAATTGTAGAAGTTTTTGTTTCCTGCTGACTGTAGTGTTCCTTTAATGAGCTCACTTGCTCACTTAGCCCTTTTTTTTTTTTTTAACATTACGGTCTCTGACCAGTTGGCTGCATCTGTCGGTTGAACTGTGCAATTTAATTGGCTGTCTTAAAACTCCTGCTATTTTGTGATTAACTGCTGTTTGTTCTAAAAATCAGTTCTGCGTGGGACAGCAATTGAAAGTTCTCATTTCAATCACTGACACGTGCTCTGACTGATAGCAAGTAAAAAGAGAGATATGGGCTGACCACACATTCTAATGCTAAAATAAAATTCTTAGGGAGGAACCTGCTACTCTGCTTATAGACCTCATATTGAGACCTCACAATGAGCATTTTTAAATTACTGCATCTAGTGGAGAGAGCCATAAATTCCCATTGACTGAAAATTGCAGGGCATTTAAATAAGAACACTAAAACGTTTGTATCTGTGACATTGTTTTGAAAGTGCATCATCTGAATATATTTTATTTTGAAAAGACAAATCAGTAGTTTACCATGGTGTGGTTCCCATTGGTATACAACCCATAGACATAGAACATAGAATGTGATGGCAGATAAGAACCATTTGGCCCATCTCATCTTCCCAAATGAACCTCTTTGTAATAATCATGGGAGAAGCCCGATTATGCAAACGGAGCCAAAATGCATAGATTTATAGAGGCTTCGGTGGATATTCTGGTAACTTTCAGACTTTGCTCTTTTCTGTGATTGTGATTCAAACTATTACCCATGAATTGATGTACTGTCTGTATGATATTAAATGTCTAGGTAAACCCATGTTTACCTCGGATGTTTCACAAAGTTAAAAAAATTCTAGTCGGTCAGGTAGAACTCCATTGGAACTTCACTTTTTCTTTTTCCATATTGAACCATAATTAAGATATCAAAAATCAAGATAATATCTTGATTTCTGCTATTCGCTTACTTTCATGAATGTTACACACACGCCACATTCTATAGGAAATTTATGTCTAAAACCCTACTTTCCTGTAAATATGCTGCTTCAAGTTCCATATCTCACTTAACCCCTAAATAATATCCACTGGTGTGAAAGGAACACTGCCTCCCACCATTTTTAAAACAAAATGTAAAAAATCTCATAAAATGAACCTACAATCTATCTCTAGGACAGTCAACAAGTTGAAGCAGCTCCACCTCTAGAGAAGTTATCTGTAATAATGAATTGTGTCCACTCCTAATTCCTCTTTTAGAGAAGTATTTTAGTGATTAGATATCACTTTTGGTAATTGCCACACTTGAATCCAATGCTTTACTATGAGAAACATTAAGAGAGTTTGGTGTCATCATGCTTAATGTGATGACAATGAATGCAAAGAACTTTGTAAAGAACTTAAATTTTCAGTCTGACAACCCCATGAGTGGTCGTTTTGGACAAATGTAAATATCGTCTGAAAAAAACAACAAAAAAAACAGGTATAAGGCACCAAAGCTACTTCATTAGTGTCATTTAACAAGACTTTGATAGGGTCATCTAAAGCTCACTTATTCATCCTAATCTGCGTTGGCTTGAACTACTTTATTCCTACTATCACCAGACATCCTGTCATTGACAAATTCTCCATATACTATAGTGATTCAGTGCTCTTTTATTAAGTTCTAGGAGGTTGATTGGAATTTATGAAATTGATGATGATTCCATTAGAACATATAAAGCCACCAGTATCTAAAGTGGACAGCTGCAGTCCTACAAGAATAAATATTAGAACTTTGAATGGGAATATGTTCAACAAAAGTTGGTCTGTGGGTTTATGTTTCTTGAGGTAAGGCCAGAGCTGTCCTTTCCTAGCTCAAGGATTTTCATGGAAGACACTATCTGTGTACATTTTCTATTGCAGAATGAAGTTCTAATGTCAGCAATCCATAATTTATGGCTATCAAGAAGATTCTAAGGAATGGTAAGATCTCTTGCACATGCCACATCCCCATAAGATTCCTCCTGAACATATTAAACTGCGATACTGCGATGGCTTAGCACCAGCTTTATTTTCGGTTCATACAAACTCAAAGAATGTTTACTAGTGTGTTCTAGCCAGACAGTTCTCACCTAGGAATCTGCTTTCTTTGACATGCTTCGAATCCAAGAGAAGTTGGCTTCTTTTGTGTATAACTGTAATTTTCTGGTTCTCTTCTACAGTGCTAGAATGTGAGCACCGAGAACGACTCACATATGGCTCAAGACAGACAGCAGTATGTTTACTTCCTTATAAACAACAGGATTTGCAGACAGTGACTAAAATAAAAAGTATTTTAGATATCTGTAATTACATTTCCATTATCAGTTATCTACAACTATTACTAAATAAGAAAATACATTAAAAGAAAATAAGGTAAGACAATTCCAAGGTAACTGATTAAAGACAAACAATGTAAAATACACAGAATTAAAAAAATAAATAAACTAAACCACTAGTTTTAGGTCTACCAAAGAAAGTAAAAGTTAAACAAAAATGTTAAGACATATTATGTAATTTGGGGATTTTTTTTTTCACCAAACATGCTTGATTTGTTTCAATGCACATGCTTTTTATAAACCTTGACTTGTGAAGAATTAAAAACCCGACAAATGTAATACTAGTTTTGTATTTTGTAAAGAGTGCTCAAGTTCTACAAAATTCACTCTAGACCTACTTGTTTATGAGTGAGGTTATGTAACACTGCTATGGAGAGCTTTATATGTAGGGTATAGGATTTCAAAATGCATCTGAAAATGTTTTAGGAGTCAAGGTAAAGTCTGACAGAGGGGTGAGGTATGTCTTGAGCATGAGGTTTGGGAGGTGAGTCTGGCTGCTGCACTTTTATTGACCTATTTCTCTGGACTACACTAGGTGGTAGGTTAGTTATACCTCAATATAAACTGAGCAGAACTTACACCAAAAATAGGAGTTATCGAAAACTATTTTGTCCACGTAAAATCCTCCCTGCCGCTTTCACACACATTCGTACAATCGTAGACACATGCACACAGAATTACATGCATGAAGGACACTTATAAGCACCCATATGCCGAAACATGCAAGCAGACACATGCTTTTATAGACAAAATATAGATAAAAAAGCCTGATAGCACTAGCGAAACACGTTAAAGCGTGAGTGGCAGTACAATTGTTCAGATTGGTAGGAAAGTAGTGGCTTCCAGCTCCGGCGTTCTTCCAGAACTAGTGCATCATTCTTCGGCTATGAGATTCAGCCAGAATTCGCATGACAGGAGGACCGGGCGGTAAAGTCTCATTAACTACTGTACACCAATGCTTAACTCTTGGTTCCTTGGAAACAAGTACCACAACATGTTAATGTAAGGGTTCCTTTTGGGGGGAGAGGGGCTTTTTAATTTGCCAAAATAAATACAGTTTTACGCTATGTGGATCTCTTTGGATCTTTTTAAGGTACTGTGATCACTGTTGCAAATGGTGCATTCTAAGATTGTGGATTTAACATGTGTGGCAATATTACCACCCAAGGACTCTTGGACATTTCAGTATTTATTTATTTATTTATTTTGAAGTAGTACATGCTGTAATATATATACTGCTGATTTGTCTTAAGTATTTTTTTTTTAACCAACTTTACAAGTGCATATACAGTTGTTTCTATTTCATAGATTAAATGTGGATTACCTGGATTGTAAAACAGGGTTTTTTCAATATAGCACTGACACTTTTATTTAATATAGCACCATCTATACTGAGACAGGTGGGAGCTCTCATTTGCAATGTTAATATTGCCTTAATAGAGCATAGTTTTTGATGCATTTCCCTTAATAATAATAATTGTTACAATCACTGTTTGATTCGAACATTAGCTGTCTCCACTGACAATACTTCTGGGTTTTCACCATACTCCAGAAATAGCTCTGTCCAGATATAGAAAGCAGAACCCAGCTAATGTGCACAGAGTGTGGGGTGACACTTTCTTCTTTTCCTTCAGCACACTTACTTTTTCATGTCCTCTGACCTATCGTGCTTCTTCCAAATGTCAGCTCCACTCTAACTGGCCATATTCATCACATGATTCCATGGTGTGCCTTCCGGTGTTCTTCCATGCTCACAAACTCCAGGAACGTGGCCAGCTGTTCACTCAACTGTTTTTTTTTTGTTTTGTTTTTTGTGGTCTTTCTTTTTCTTTGTGTGTTAGAAGACAACTTCAAAGGGACACTACCGGCACCCAGACCACTTAATCTCAGTGAAGTGGTCTAATTTCAATGTCCCTGTAGTTTTGTCCCTGAAATGTATCACATAGCCATTCTGCAGGGTTTAAATGCCTCTAGTGGCTGTCACTCAAACAGCCATTACAAAATAAAAAGTAAAGCTCTGCTACTCCATGGAGATCATCTGAATGGTGCAGAGCTGCGTTTTGCTGCCCATGCACAATAGTCGCAACTCCTGTTGCTTTCCTATGGAAAAGCATTGGATTGGTTGAGATCATCAATCTCGATGATCTCCGCCGAACAGGTGGGGCCAGCTGTGGAGACCAATGCTGCAAAGAGAGAAGGTAAGTAAATCTTCCTTTTAACTTTGTGCAAGAGGCAGGGACCTAAACTTTTAACAGAACACTATATCGTTAGGAATACACGATTGCCATCCTATGTGTGATGTTAACTAGATCTAAGGCCTCTCTCCATTGAACATCATCAGTCTCAAAGTTACTGTATACCACAGTATTTGTATTCTCGTATTTATATTGCTTCACACCATAGTCTGTTGTATTTTTGTAAGAAATTTTTTTATTTTCTTATTCGTTATAAAGAACCAGCCTGTATGCCAAGACATAGAACGTGTTAATTATATACCATTTGCAGAATAATATATCTCTATCAGACTAATCATATCAGGAATCGGTATTTATCCTGCATTTTACACCGGCAAAAATATTCTGTATGTACCACTTATATAAATGTCGATATGTTATTTTAAATGCTCAATTCAAACCAAACATCATTCTATTTGTACATGTTTTTCTCTCAGCATATTTCTTAAACCTCTTTACATAACAGAAGCTTGAGAACATAATATTGAATCACGGGTTCCATGTCACCGTGCCAAAGTAAACTGAAAAAATGATTAGAATGGTTTTTTAGCTCTTTATATGGTTATCTGCCTAGTAAAGCATGAAATTTAAAAAATGCAGCCTGTTCTGTTAATTAATTATGTCGGTTTAATTGCAAGAGAATAAAAGGAACACTGAGAGGAGGAATGATAGGATTAGAACTGGGGACTTAATGTATTATTTTTTTTACCCCATCCTTCATCTCTTCTAGTCCTAGTCCTAGTGTCTCATTTTAACATTGCCCCCCTTAGACATCTTTTATTCTAATGCTTCTCGGTGGCGCCAGATCCTTTTTTAAGGCATCGCTATCTGCAAGTTAATGGCAGTGACATCATATGATCCACCATTTGTCCTGTCTCAGTTGGAGTCCCCCAAGGCTCTGTCCATGGTCCCCTTCTATTTTCTCTTTACACTGCCTCTCTTGGCAAATTTATTACATCCTTTGGATTCCAATACCATCTGTATGCTGATGACACCCAGATATATCTCTCCTCCCCAGACCTCTCCCCTGATGTCCTGCAACGTGTCACCTCTTGCCTTTCTTCTATCTCTGATTGGATGTCCTCCCGCTTTCTGAAACTGAATCTTTCCAAAACAGAACTTCTTGTCTTTCCTCCTCCTAATATTAATCCTCCTCCCTCGCTCTCCCTTCAGGTTGGTGGTACCCATATCATCCCATCCTTACAAGCACGTTGTCTTGGTGTTACTTTTGATTCTGGCCTTACCTTTGAGCCTCACATCCAGTCTGTTGTCAAATCATGCCAACTCCACCTCAAAAACATTGTCCGCAACCGCCCCTTTCTTACACAAGATGCTACTAAAGAGCTTGTCCATGCTCTAGTAATCTCTCGCATGGACTATTGTAATTCTCTCCTAATTGGTCTTCCCAATAGCCGTATTGCCTCGCTACAGTCTGTAATGAATGCTGCCGCCAGACTGATTTTCCTCTCTTGTCGGTCCTCTCACACCTCACCTCTCTGTCAGTCCTTACATTGGCTTCCTATGTACTATAGCAGTCAATTCAAAGTGCTAACCCATACCTATAAAGCACTGAATAATATTAGCCCCTCTTATATCTCCTCACAGATCCATAGGTATGCCCCTTCTCAGTCTCTCCGCTCTGCCCGTGACCTTCTTCTGTCCACTGCTCGCACCCGTATGGCCAACTCGCGCTTGCAGGACTTCTCGCGGGCAGCTCCCTTCCTATGGAATAGCCTGCCAACCGCCATCAGACTCTCCCCTAGTTTTCAATCATTTAAGAAGTGCCTATGGCCTCCCAGACTACCTCACATGCCTGTCTCTTGCTCTCTCCTAAAGAGCAGCACTCTACTCTCTCCTCCAGCTCTACTTCACTCCCACATAATTTGACTGCTATTTCTTGTCCTAATGTGTTTTATACGCCACCTCCTATAGACTGTAAGCTTGTTTGAGCAGGGCCCTCTTTAACCTATCGTTTCTATAAGTTTTCTTGTAATTGTCCTATTTATAGTTAAATCCCCCCTCCAATAATATTGTAAAGTGCTACGGAATCTGTTGGCACTATATAAATGGCAATAATAATAATAATAATGCCCATAGTATGCGACAGAATCTACATCCCGTGCACGCATGGAGCTCAGAATTGAAGATAGGGGAGCTGGTGAGTATTAAAGGTGAGTATTTTGGAAAAACTATACTTGACAAAGGAAGTGGAGAGTGTCCTAAGCTTCACCCTTTGTCAAGATGTGTCCAGCGTAGGAAAAATACAAAGAAGAACAGGTTGGGAAAGAAGAAGAGAAATGGAAACTGATGAAGAAAGGTAAGTTTGGGTTGGCCAAGCCGCATTAATTGATTTAAAAAGGGAGTAGATAAACTGATATGGAGGGTAAGTGGTTATATACGAGATGGATTCAGAGTAATTGAAATTACCCATTTCAAAAGAAATGTGAAACTAACGATGGAGCAGTATATACACAACGTTTTCTTTTCAATCTGGAACCTGGAATTTGATGGATTTATATACATTCTGCAAGTGGCAGAAGTGTAGCTCTTATAAGTGCACATTCCTGTTTGAAAATGCCTTTTTGAGTTGTAAGGAAGCTAGAACGCCCATTTTAAAGTGTTTTATCATTTTATATTGTACTAGGCAATGGCAAGCAGGTTCATAGCAACCTGGTTCTATTATCTATTTGTTGTGGTCATCTTGGAGAAGACAGAAGCATGGGATGTAGATACGTCCTAAAATGGGTAGAAAAGCTCTGCATTGGTTCATCATTCAACACACTTGAGCATTTTATTTTTGGGAATGGGCTCTGGTGTCTCACTGTCTATAGAAGTTGAACAGGGAAAAACCATAGAACAGCAGTACAGGTTTTTCAATATCAGGATTGTCCCTCCTGATTGAAGTTTGGTGGGAGGTATGACTAAATATAATCTCTTGTTCCGGTTGGACTGTGCTTTTCCTTTTAGTGTGGTGACATTTTGCCCACAGAGTAATCAAGACTAACATGAAGAATACAAACCTGCACGTGCCACAGGTTAGCAAACGGGACTTCTGAGTGACTCTTCTGTGTGGATGAAAAGGATAACGCGACAATATTTGTTAAGGATTATGGCTATGAAATCACAAGTCATTGAGCTAACAGGAGTTTGGGAATTTTCCAATTCCTGTGATGAAACAAATTTGTTTCCACCTTAATACCTCCTTGACATTGGCCTCCAGGGTATATCTTGTGAATATCTATATTTCTAAATAAACAATGCATGCACACATGTGCTACCTAGTTATACTGTGTTATCTTACATTATTACGCTGTATGTATTTAACGCTTTTTTTTACTGGTTTCTGGAAAGCTGTTCTTTTTACCTGAACCAATAAAAAAATAAGGCGTTATTAAAAATAATTATATCTAGGTGTGTATAATGAAAAATCACTAAGTCTGTAAGAAAAAAAAAAACGTAAATAGAAATAATTGCATTGGAAAACTACCCTCTCTTTTAATAGCTGTTTTTTTTTACCTGATCCAATAGAAAAATAAGGCGTTATTAAAAATAATTATATCTAGGTGTGTATAATGAAAAATCACTTAGTCTGTAAGAAAAAAAAACATAAATCGAAATAATTGCATTGGAAAACTACCCTCTCTTTAAATGCCCTTTTCTTTGCCCTCTCTTTAAATTAATCAATACCACTTAACACAATCAGTATCAGTTTTACTAATCAGTCCTTTTTATAATATCTCATTAGGGTTGTGAAATGAATAATTACAATCCTAAAAGTAAGGTAATTATTGAGAGCCGTAGTAAATCAATTGCTCATAAGAATGTAAGTGTAGCAAATATTGACATTACAATACTACACATTGACCTATCACAACATTAAAACCATTGACAGGTAAAGTGAATAACATTGATTACATCTTTACAATGGCTCCTGTCTAGGTGTGGGTATATTAGACAGCAAGTGAACAGTCAGTTCTTGAATCTCATGCGTTGCAAGCAGGAAAAATGGGCAAGCAAAAAGATCTGAAAGACTTTGACAAGGGTCAAATACTGATGGCTAGAGTATCTCCAAAATGGCAAATCTTGTGTGGTGTTCTTGGTACGCAGTGGTTAGTACCTACCAAACATGGTGCAAGGAAGGCTAGCCCATCTAGTCCTATCAAACAGAATAAACTGCTAAAAAAAATAAATGTAAAACCTTGGGTCATGGCATTCATGTTTATTTTACTTTGACATGTACCACCTGCCTAGAGATTGTTGCAGACCACGTACACCCTTCATGGAAATAGTGTTCCCTTATGGCAATGGCCTCTTTCAGCAAGGTAATGCACCCTGCCACACTGCAATAATTGTTCAGGAATGGCTTGGGGAACATGACAGATAATTCAAGATGTTGTCCTGGCCTCCAAGATTCCCCAGATCTCCCACAGAGAGCACACGAAAAATGTAGTAACACTGTAGTGACTGATATATTAAGCTGAGTGATCTGCAAGCAATGCTGGCTCGCTGGGGAAAGTGTCCCAAAAAGTAGGTTATTAGCAAAATGGAATTATAGTGGCACACTGGGTTGTCAATACAACACATGTATCCCTTTAGTGAATAATCACTGATGAGACATCGAACATCGCTACGGAATTTGCCGGTGCTATATAAATAATAATAATGAGACATCAGCCAGGTATAAGTTAGCTAAACACTTTTCAAGTAATAGTGATGAGTTACTTTCTGGTACATTCTCCAGAGTTAGGAAGGGGGGCTGTCCTGTGCAGCAGGCTAAATAGATACAGTTGCAAGAAAAAGTATGTGAACCCTTTGGAATGATATGGATTTCTGCACAAATTGGTCATAAAATGTGATCTGATCATCATCTGCACTGTGAATGTTTACATGGCGTGTTCAATAAAAACATGGCAACATTTCATTCTTTGTGTGTTATTAGTTTAAGCAGACTGTGATTGTCTATTGTTGTGACTTAGATGATGATCAGATCACATTTTATGACCAATTTGTGCAGAAATCCATATCATTCCAAAGGGTTCACATACTTTTTCTTGCAACTGTATATAGTCAGGTAGAAAAAAGGCAAGTGGGAAGAATTATGGACATGACGTTGATATTTGAAAGTGGAGTAATCACCAATAAACCTGCTGATTACATTGGTATTTATAGTGATTGCTACACTATTAGAATATTGTGCCTCTCTTAAAACATGTAGAGAGCTTCAGCCCAAATCAATCAATTACTGTTAAAATATACATTACATTTGATAACAAACATGGTAAAATAAAACGCTGGTTTTCTTCTTTTTTCATTGATTTTATTGCACTAACATACATATGTCTGCTTAGCTGAGAGTGCTTTTAGTCTGCTATATTTAGGTGCAAATGTCTTCTGCCCATAGCACTTATTACAAATATACTAGACAGTGCAGAGTCTAACATGAATTGACTGGGCTGAGTCTAATAAAATAACAGATACAATCAGCTGCCTTGTTTGGCTTACTGATGTCTGAATTGTACAGTGATTTCAGGAAATGTGCTTGAATTTCTCCACCCTTCTGGTGAGTACACCAAGATGGAATGTTATTGTTTAGGAAAACGGATACGATGGCGTTCCACATTCTGGGCTACAGACGCATGGAACCTCAAGCGATTGCCCTTGACATGTAAAATGCTAACGCACACATTTACTAGCTATCAGAAGCTAGCGGTAAAATGATTACTCAATAAAAAGATACAAGACAGTTTTTTTCACTAAACTCTAAATTGTAGCAAATTAAAATTTCATTGCAAAATTAAGCCTAAAATCACCACGTTTTGACTATACACCATAAAGTTGGAGAATTTCTCCAAAACAGCCTATCCGACCTAAATTTTGCTATTCGGACTTTAATTGCGTGCGATTTATTGTTTAGTGAATAGAAACAAGTGCAGCAACCAACATCTACCTAATGCCTGCACAGGACTGTGAATTGTAATTATACCACATTAATTAACCCTTACTTGTGACAGCTTGAAGGATTGTTATAAGCTATGTAACCACTAAAGCTCACAGTAGTGATTATACTTTAAGGAAAGGTTAAAGGATCTTAACATGTATAGCTTGGAGGAAAGACGAGATGGGGGATATGATAGAAACATTTAAATACATAAAGGGAATCAACACAGTAAAGGAGGAGACTATATTTAAAAGAAGGAAAACTACCACAGCAAGAGGACATAGTCTTAAATTAGAGGGGCAAAGGTTTAAAAATAATATCAGGAAGTATTAGAGGGTAGTGGATGCATGGAATAGCCTTCCAGCTGAAGTGGTAGAGGTTAACACAGTAAAGGAGCTTAAGCATGCATGAGATAGGCATAAGGCTATCCTAACTATAAGATAAGGCCAGGGACTAATAAAATTATTTAGACAATTGGGCAGACTAGATGGGCCGAATGGTTCTTCTCTGCCATCACATTCTATGTTTCTATGTCTTTGAGTTCCATATCTCAAGGTTTTCAGAAATGTTTTTGAGCAGCACTCAAATCTATTCCATCAGCTGCTAGAATAATGTGCCCCTAGTGCTTATTGCCAGATTTGGAAGGATTTGTACAGATAGTGAATAAGTGTAACATTCACATTGCATTGAAAGAGGCAGGAGCCTAGTTTTCGGTTCTGGTAGATAAACCCCAGAGGGGCAGGTCCTAAAAAGTCCTTTTACCATAACCTACCATGAGCTATAGAGGGTCAGTAATTCATTGATAAGTAGATGCCAGTGTTATTTATTATGGTGAATTTGAAGTGAATTTCAAATTTAAGGCCAGAGTAGCCATACTAAGAGCATATTTTGAACTTACATTTTAAATTCACTTTGAATTCTCATTAGTAAATAACCCTATTAGACTAAAAAGAACAAGCGGAGTAAATAGAGTTAAATCATTGTTTAAATCATACAGTTCCTCCCAGGGGAATCTCCACAATAAGTAATTTAGTGAGAAAAACATGAAATTACAGGCTTTTCCTCGGTACCCAATAAAACCAGAAGGGTAGGTACCCCCCATTCCTACACTAATTGTACCAATATAAATATTATATTCATTGAAAAGATATACATTTTCTGTGGACCTACACAGTGCCCTCACATTTAATCATTCCATAATGAATATGGGATATTGTGTTACAAGAATGATATGAGACATTCCAGACCCAAAATGGACAAACCTGGCTACTGTATAGTCTCAAGTGGACGCCCACTTGGACATGGACGCCCAATAACCTTGTCACATAGTGAAAAATGCCCTCCATTTAGTATAAAATGTATAGTAATGCCCTCCATTTCATATAAAATGTATAGTAATCTCTACCCACCCCCACTCTAATTTTAAGTGCATCTTATTTTAGACATTTTGGCTTTTACTTGATGTATTGGAAAAGTTAAACCTGACGTTACTGAGCCAGAGTTGGATGAAGAGTGTAACCTTAAACATACTGAAGTCATAAATATTAAACAAAAGTTGGACAGGACTAGACATGACTTGGCAGGAGGTATGGTCTTCACACACTGAGGTAATACAAAAACACTTGAATGGGACTTGGCAATAGCTATAGTCTTGCACATGTCAATATCACACTTCATCTTTCAAAAGGACTCTCTGAGACCAATTCAAGCTTACAGTCCTCAAGGCACCTAACACTTCAGGGAACCTAGGATCAGTGCACCTAAATCAAGTTACACGGGCATAAAACTCAAAAACAAGAACCCAACGTCTGAACCGCTATACCAGGAACACATTTCTACATTATGTATTCAATATATTCTTTGGACAATATACTCTTCTCTCCCTTTACTCAAACTTGATAAACTCGTCTGAAAAAAGGTTTACTTGGTTGCTTATAATGCTATTAGGTACATGCAATGAGGACTTGCCAGCACTTTGATTCTGGACTGCCCTTATGAGTTGGATCAGTCTAATATACCAATGGTATAGGTTCTCTTTGTAATGGCACAAGTGAGAAAAAAACTTTTTTGAGACCTAAGCGGGGAATAACTGAAGGGTAACTACCGAGTTTCAATAAACTTTGGCACATTGTGAGAGTTCTCATATTCTCTGTTTTTATCTGCTGCTAAGTAGACTTAAAAAAAGAGCTAGGTAACTTGAGTGATGATGGTAGTTTTAAATGAGCCAATGAGACTAGTTGGTCAATAGCATAATGAAGCATAATGGTTCTGGCTGACAATCT